TGGGAACAAATCAAAGATGACCAAAGCTTTGAGACAGATTTAAACCTCATGAGGGACTTAGGAGGAAGTTTCATGAGAATCTCGGTCACTAGGTCAAAAGGAATCATCTCCGTTCGTCGCTCTTGCATACTTCTTTTCTTCTAAACATGTACCCACCGAAATCAGAAGAACCCTAATTCTTCAACCCAGAAATTTTTAGTGTCAATCGCACACAGTAAGGCATATAGAGTTAGAGGAAGAAACTGAGAGAAAGATTTTCTACTCTGATTCATCTCTGAGGGCTCACATAGCCGCAAAAAGTCTGCAACTCGATCTCCTCCGTCTCCGCCGCCGTAACCGCCGTACATGACTCGCTGTCAAGTGTAAAACCTCGGCGAGAGAATTTTTTTATACAAAAACCTCGGCAAGAGAAGTTTATGAAACGGCAAGAAAATGTCTCAAGAACTAAAGGAAAAGCTTTGTTTGTCGTTTTTAAACACGCAAACGACATGTAGTTTTCTTCAAAATATCATAAAAATCGGAAATGGTCACATTCTGTCACAATTTTTGTAACTGAAATTGAACCAGAAATGTTCATTGCTCTCTCTCATTCGAATCTCTTAGTTAGACTTCTTTTTCTTCTAATACTTCCGAATTTTTTTGTAAAGCATTTTGCAGTAGGATCATTTTGGTGTATAACCAACAAAAAAAAAATTAAAAAATAAGTAAAAGTGAATATGTAGCAAAATCATGACCATTGGATGTGGAGTTTTTGGTTAGTTTTTAGATTATAATTTTTTTTTATGTTGTTTTTACCAATTTCTCTTTGCAATATGAGTGCAAATGATTATTGGATCGTTGTCAAGTCTTTCTTTATACGATTTATATATCAATGTTTATTTCATTCTGAAAATAAAATGGCCTTTTCGTTTTTTGATTTCTTGTTCTGAAAAATTCATTTTTTTTTAAAAAAAGTAGCGATTGAAGGAATCGAAGTTCGACATAGTAAAATTGAGTGGAATATAATTTTAATTCAAATGGTGATTTTCTAGAGGAATTTTACTCCACTCATTTTTATTTCTCTAATCTGTTGACCATTTGAACCCATATAATATCACAAAGAAAATGGATACCTTCAAAACCTATGACGTCATTGGTATTTTTTAATTTTTTTG